AGTATAAGCAACTAGGTGTGAGTATATAGTAACTTTTTGTATTATGTTCAAACTTTTTACATAAATATAAACTATTCTCAAATTAAAAAAATAAATCTATATTTTAAAAGTTCTCGAGCATGTTTCATATGCTAGGTATTGTGAAAAGCATTAGAAATTTTAGATCTATGCAATTATTAAAGTAAAGGTATCAACTGTATTCAATCTCTACCAAACAAATACAATATTAAAATCAAATAGACAAACAAGTAAAACTTTAAAAAATATTATCCTATTGAGGATCTAAATGTTTTTGCATTTATAAATGAAAAAGAGTGGCAAGCTTACACTTAAATTATAATTTGACACAAAGAAGACTTAATTTGACACAAATATACATTGGTCTGTCTCAATACAAGATTGTGGGTCATGATGTCTATTAACTTTATTAGTTTTATTCTTTCCTTAAAGACTTCATGAATATGCTTCTGTATTGATAAAACCATCAATAATTTGTGTCATCAAATTAAACTTGACACCTATTTTTCCTACAGAAAATGAACACAGCATAATTCCTCATCAATTGAATATTATTATAATTGTAAAGCACTATGAAATATATATCCGCAGCATAACTTTTATCTAATTTGAAGATGACAAATTTACTAATAAAAAATTAAATTGACTTAAGGACCCCAAAAAACTCAAAATGATGCCAACGTGCAAATCCACAAAAACAAAACAGGGCCTTTGTGGTAGGTACATATGGTAAGTTCTACATCAATCTGAGTAAGTGGGGCTTTAGTATGATTTATTCGCCTCTGTTTTCTCCAGCACATTAGTCTCACGTTTTATAAAATAGCACAATTAACTTGAACTCATTTAGATCGCTAAGAAAGACGCATGGGAACTGCTGTAGTGACTAAGTGGTTATTGTAAATCATTCTACACACACATACACACAGTCAGTTATTTCAGGGTTTCATGCACAATGCTTGCTATCCTGAAGCATAACACAAACTATTTGTACACAGTTTCCTGTGGCTTTCAAAGGAAGATCTTTCAAATAGGTCCAGAGAGGCATTGCAGAACAAAGCTTTTTCAGTTTAAACTGAATGACACAGAAATATTATATAGTTCACAAGTAGTAACTGGTTGATTTCCCCTCCCACACTGATCCCAATTTGTACAGATCTTGTCCCTTTCCCTTTCCCTGGGAGACAGTGCATGTCTCTCTTAGGGTCCTCCTTGTTTCCTAGCTTCTCTGGTGTGGACTGTAGGCTGGTGATCCTTTGCTTTATGTCTAATATCCATATATGAGTGAGCATATATCATGCTCCTCTTTTTGTGACTGAGTTACCTCACTCAGATTTCTTTTAGTTCCTTCCATTTGCCTGTGAATTTCAAGATTTCATTGTTTTTTTCTGCTGAGTAGTACTCCATTGTATAAATGTACCAATTTTAAAGAGAACTCTGGCACCAGGGAAAAATGTCCAGAGACCTACAAGGATTACTCCAACTAACAATCTAAGCAATATGGGAGAGGCTACCTTAAATGCCCTTCCCTTATAAGGAAATTGATGACTACCTTATATGCCATCCTAGAGCCTTCATCCAGTAGATGATGAAAGCAGAAGCAGACACCCACACCTAAACACTGAGCCCAACTACTGGAATCCAGTTGCAGAAAGGGAGGAGTGATGAGCAAAGGAGTCAAGACCAGGATGCAGAAACCCACAGAAACTGATGACCTGAACAGGGGAGCTCATGCACCCCAGATTGATAGCTAGGAAACCAGCATAGGATAGACCCAAACCTCTTGAATGTGAGTGTCAGTTAGGAGGCTTGGGCAATCTATAGGGCCTCTGGTACTGGATCAGTATTTAACCCTATAACGCTAACAGACTTTGGGAGCCCATTCCACATAGAAGGATACTCTCTCAGCCTAGATACATGGGGGAGGGCCTAAGCTCTGCTCTAAATGATATGACAGACTTTGAAGATCCCCCAGAGTAAAGCGCGGCATGGAAAACTTCAGACTTTTAACTTTTATGAGCAGAGGCAAAATTTCCTCTAGTTCCAACAATACAGAGAAAGAAAAATACAACATAATACTCAAAGTAAAGTTCACTGTGAGAATGTGAGACCTGCTTGGTAACTGATAATTAATACCAACACTGAAGTACACCATCATGAGATTAATGCAGAAAGCATCTGACGAAAGTCTACACTCATGGTGATGCTTTCTCCACCCTGTAAGAGCCTCAGAGAGAATGTACACAGAACCAACTGGATATCTAAGTCCTCACACTTAAAGAAAAACGACCAAGTGTTTTCTTGCTTGTATTATGAAAGATACAGGGTTTCTCCCCCCTTCTTCTAGTCAGTATTATCCCGGGGTTCCACCGATGTATTGGTAGGCAAAGGAAAGGGGGAGGGAGAGAAGCTATGTTAGAAAGGGAGAACTATGGCTGTTTTTATCAGCAAACCAAGTGCGGTGGGTTGAATAAGAATGGTCCTCACAGGCTCATATATTTCAACACTTGGTCATTAGCAAGTGGTGCTACTTGAGAGGGATTAGGAGGTGTGGCCCTTTTGGAGTGGGTGTGGCCTTGTTGGAGGAAGTGTGTTACTTTGGGTGGGCTTGAGGTTTCAAATGCTGAAGTTGGGCCCAGTGTCCCTCTCTTCCTGATGCCTGCTTTCTCCCCAGCACCATGTCTGCCTGTGTGCCTCCATGCTTCCCACCATGATGCTAATGGACTAACCCTCGGAACTGTAAGCTAGCCCAATTGAATGTTTCCCTTTGCAAGAGTTGCCGTTGCCATGGGGTCTCTTCACAGCAATAGAACACTGACTAAGATACCAAGCAATCATCTCAGTAGAAAATACCAATTTTGGCATCTACCGGAAGAGTGGACCACCATTACTAATAGGTGACAGCTGAAAGAGTACAGCATACCAGATCAACATAGAGCATTGTATTTCCATGCATTACAACGAAGAACTAGAAATTGACATTTTAAAAATCTCCATAAGTAGCATTAAAACGTGAATTATTTAAGAATGAATCTGACAAGAGATGTCAAGTACCCGTACTCCCTGAATCCCAAGATAGAAAGCCAAAACCAAAATACTTTAATCGTTAAAAATGTATAATTTAAACAAAAATAAAAATTATTTTTTCCTTAAAAGATAGAGGACCCAGATATAAATCTAACTAACCATTTATAAGTTCTGAATGTTGAAATCTGCAAACACTAAAGAAAGCTCAAAGGTCTGCATGTGGGAGGGAAGGTCGATTATGTTCATGGACAAGGAAAGTCACAGTAAACACGACATGGCTCTGCAATTTGACCTCTAGATGTAATACAGTTTCAAAGTCCCAATAGAATTTATCGTCAAGTTTCATCCCAAATTTCCTATGTGAAACCACAGGATGCAAATTTTCAAAAGGAACAACAAAGCTGGTGGGGGGCAATAGCACAGAATTTTGCTTTATGGTCTTCTATGAAGCTCTAATGGAAAAGGCTCTACTTTCACAGAACAGGGATAAAGAGATCAACAAACAGAAAGTTACATACATGGCCTACTGACTTTTCAATTAAACCACAAAAACATTTCCATGGAGAAAGGATGCTGCTTTCAATAAATGGTACAGGAACAACTGCATACCATGAAAAACAACACTTTGACTTAAACCTCATATTTGACTTTTAAAATGTTAGTTCAACATAAATCAAAATTCTATCTGAGCATTAAACTTTCAGAGAAAAAAAAACATTGGCAAAAAATGTTTATAAACTAAAACTATCTAAGAGGTTTAAAATATGCTATTGTACCCCACACTGGAGCAATTAAAAACTATATTTGAGCAGTTGGACTTTCAAACATTGGGTTTGCTTTCCAGGAAAGTATTGCAACATGAATACAAAGACAAACAGGCTGGGTATGATAAAATATATTAGTATAGTAGTATAAATCACACATCTGATGTAGGATTTGTACCCAAATATTTGAAGAGTTCTTATAATTGGGACATGTAATAAATAATTAAGTCAAAACATATATAAAAGCCAGAAATGTCCTTTGCCTTCTTGGCATCCCCATTTTTACCAGAGAGCTGCCTGGAATGTCTGGAGGCTCGGATTCCCAATCTGGTTCCTTAATGATTTTAGGGTTACCTCTTTGACTGGCAAAGGTAAGAGTAAGTAAGACAAAATCCCTTCTGGTTAGAGAACAGAATTTCTGGCCTGACTGGATTGATTTCATGGCCAAGGGGCCACCCGCCGGCAGAAGCAACTATCCCTAGGAAGGCAGACTCACCTCAAACCCTGCCAATTGATGGGTGGAATAATTCTCCTTTAATGAGATACCTTCCCTTCTCTAGTTCAGCACTGTCTGTTCTAGAGGCAGAGACCAGCAGCTTTCAAAAGTCTTGCCAGCTTTTCCAAATTACTCAGAAAAAAGGGAAAGCCTAACTTCCTTTCTCCATCTACCTCCTTACTAAGCATGGCTTCCCTAACACTTTTGGCTTCCCCTTCTGTCTTCCATTCCTCTCATCTGGGCAGTGCTGAAGTTTACAGCTTGCCTATCTGCAGTGCTTCCCTTTTTAACTCTAGTAAAATGGTCCTCAGGCTTATACAGGAGTGCACAAAAAGAACACATTAGAAGAAGGTGACACTCAGGCTTTGTTGAATAGAACTATTGAAAATTGGCTGTAGCTTCTCTTTGACAGGAATTTTATTTATATCTTTCAAACTAAGAGTTTTAGTAATATATTAATACTATTAATAATAATTTCTAACATGGTTTATAAATAAAATAAACACATGAAATTAGGGGGTCTGGCACTGGTAAACGTCATATTAGAGTAACAGGAGCAGAAAGAATTAAAGAGCGGCAGCTGTTTGCCTTCATGGATGCAGTAAGAAATCTCATCCTTTGCTGTGTAGAATACACAGTGGTACAGCCACCCTGGGAAACAGTCTGACAGTGTCTTGTATAACTAAACACACACTTACCATATGCTCCAGCAACCCCACTCCTGAGCATTTACCCTAGAGAAATAAAAAATACATTAATTTATTCGAAATTATGTACATGAGTGTTTATAACAGTTGGATTCATAACTGTTCACAGAGACAATCTACTCATCTTTTTACACTGGAGAAATCATGGCTTGTTTATAGGATGGAATACTATTGAGCAGTAAAAAGAACACACTATAGCTATAGATACATGCAGTAAATTGATAAATATCACAGACAAGTTTGCTTAGTAAACAATGTCAGTCTCTCCAGTGCATGCTTTATGATTCTACTTCTACATCATTATTTTATAACATTTGCAGTAAGTGAATAATAAACTAATGGAGAAGAGATTAGTGATCCTCAGGGGTTGGTTAAGGATGAAAAAAGCAAGACTTGAAAGCATGCAGGAAATGGGATTCCTCTATATCCCCACTGTCTGGGCATGAGATGAACCTTATAAGCATTTAAATCACAGTTTATACCAGGAGTAAACACATTTTAATACTTGAAAATGAAGAAGACAATGTTTGATTGGAAAGAGACTTGGAGGTTGAATACAGCACAGTGCTATGCTTGCCCCAAAGATAACGCTCAATACATCTTTATTCAATTGACTGTAGTTTCTCTTTCGAAAGCAATCTTGTATCTTCAAACTTTTAGTGTTTTAGTAAAATAGTAATATTATTTCTATCATGGTATATACCATGAAAATATTTCTAGCTTAACACTTCATTTAGAGTGTCAAGTGACAGAATTGTAGCATTCCTAACCAAGTATTTGGAACTCTAACAAATATCATTAATAAGATCTGGGTGATAGTTAGGAGGCCTGGGCAGTCTATGGAGCCTCTGGTAAGAGAACAGGCTTTATTCCTAGTGTACGAATGGACTTTGGGAGCCCACTCCCATAGAGGGATACTCTCTCAGCCTAGACACACGGGGGAGGGCCTAGGCCCTGCCTCAAAGGATGTGCTCACCCTCTCTGGGAAGCAGAAAGGGGCTGGGATGGGGGTGTCGGTGAGGGGCATGGGAGGATGGGACGGAGAGGGAACTGGGATTCATATGTAAAGTAAAATTGTTTCTAATTTAAATTTTAAAATTAATAAAAAGATACATTTAAAAAGGAAAGGGCAGAATCTGGACCCAGGGCATAGCTCAGACGGAGGCACAGCCAAGTCCCTGAGTTCTTTCCCTCTTACAGCAAGGAAGTCACCACATAGGCCTTTGCTAACTCAAGCGGCATTTGGTCAATGTTCATGGAATGAATCTTAGTTAAACACGGACAACTTGTCAAATTACCCCATTATTTTTTCTCAGACATGAACTGTCTTTGCTTAAATCAGCAAGATGGACTTTCTATTGTTACCATTATCTCCAGCTCTAACAACATGGTACACACATTGTAAAGTCAGGGATTCTCTGCTGAAGATATCCTGGGCACGCATCTGCCTGTAGCACCTGTGGAATCACCTGACCCAGCAGGTGTTATTCTCTACAGGGACAGGTTTGAATCAGATTCGTCAGTTCTGATGAACCTGTTAAACACACTAGCCAAATTCTGTGCGTCTCAATGAATAAAAATAATTTCATCTATCAAAAAATTCAATACTTAACTCTGCACTTGACCCTCTCTAAACTGTGACACTTTGTTACCAACGACCAAGGATCTAACCCAATAACCAGATCAATTCTCAAAACCCCAATACCATTTGCATAGGTCATCAGTGTATAGCAAATATAATTATCACAACTTTAAAATGTTTTCTTTGCAAAAGAATCACTTCAGAACCCTGTAAGTTGTTTTGAAGACGTTCTTTCTGAATATCATCCAACATACAATCATCTCCAATTTACTTAGATACACATAAACTTCATAAACATTTTTTATTATAGCTTCACAGAATTTTACCATGAGCAATGATGCAAAAAAAAAATACTAATTTTCTTAGTGTACACTTTGCTATTACATTATACTGTCATTTACAAATAATGTAAACTGTGGTGTTCTTATTAGTATTAGCAACAAGTCAAAAATGCAACAAATCATCCCTGTAATTACACTCTGTAACTAAAGAAGAAAACCCCACTAATCTGGCTGAAGTGCTCACTGTGGCAATTTTATAACTTATAAGTTATGAGTTCACCTAACAAATATACAAAGCAGCTTCAGCCATATTAATTCTTAGAATATCGTTAATATAGACTACTCTAATAAGAACTACCATCCATTACTAATAAGCAAACAATAAGTGTAATCTTCAAAATAGAGTTTTATACATTAATGTACTGGCTCCCAAACTGTCAAAGCTTGTCCTCCATTGACTTTAATTGGTTTCCATAGTAGATAAATCTGACTGCCTCCTTCATCCACACAACTGTGGAAATACTGTATGGAACACACAAGCAGTTGAAATGCTAGAAAATCAAACTCTGCTGCAAAATGTCAGTCTGAATAAATTCCCCTTCTATGTCTTGACATTCAGCAGTTACTCATGCCTGGACTACATGAGCATATGAATACAGTTTCTTGAATATTAAATCAGAATAAATGTGATGAAGAGTGAACGAACTGTTACCAGATTAGACTTGGAAAGACTTTAAAAAAAAAAAAAAAAAAAAAAAAAAAAAAAACATAACCTGAAATAAAATCATAGCAAAACCAATCTAAACGTGGGATAGATTGTGACAAGCCATCCAACCTCAATATCATAAGGTCCTCTCATATATTAACAGAATTGGGGAAAATTGCAAGAGGGGCTTTTTCTGAACATATATGGAGCATAGGATCAGGGCTACACAGTGCTGAAGATGGCAGGGCTGTATAATTATTAATTAACTGTACACAGAGAAGCGTGTCATCCCAACACTTAAAACCGAGGTTAATTTATAACACAATTCTTCTAATTACCCTCGGTTCCGAAAGCGCCAGTGCTTATGAAGCTGTTTTTATTTGTGCTAAACTCTGATTTTAAAGCACTTACCTGCTTCTGTAGCCATCTTTCATGCCTCCTCCGTTGCCTTCGTAGAGTCCTTAACTTGCTCCTCTCTCTGCTATTCAGCCTGTGGTTAATGGTGCTCAAGGGGAAACTGGCAGAGTGCAGAAAGTCCAGAGGAGAGAGGTGTTCTTCTTGGTCAGAGCTGTCCAGCACGCCCCTCCCTGCTGAGGGCAGATCCATCAGGAATGTCAGGCTGTTAGCATTAGCGTGGTCTGCATACAGGGAAGAAGCTTCTAGGCCACACTGAAATTCTCTTCCTCTTTGTGCCTGGGTCTCATGGGGAGACACAGAAAGTCTGTGCAGCAGCATATTCGGATCAAAACTGGGTGGGTTTTGAAGGGAGCAGCCACTTTTCCCACACGGCGAAGCCAAGCCCGAGAGGTCAACGGGCTGGGTTTCGTTTAGCTGGGGATAGGCAGCAGTCTTACTATGGATTTCATAGAAAGTGGGTAATAAAGGCAGTGTCTCATTGATGTTCAGGTCCAAACTGTATGACTTTCTATGTGACGCTCTGGAAGTGCACCTGCCGGTCACAAGCCCAGGGACAAAAGGCTGGTATTTTGGATCCCAAGCTTTGAAGAGCAGTTTCTCATTCTTAGTCTCAAAATATGTGGCTCGCACCTCCAGGCAGAGAGCTTCTGTTAGTCTTCCGAGGCTGTTATTGTTTCGGGCCATGTTCAAAAGCCCGTGGTTTCTGATTTTGGAGCCACCACCTGTCACCAGAGCCTCCTTATCACAACCTGACCAGACTCCGGGATGTGACAAGTATTTCAGCTCTGGCCTCATTAGGTTGCCTGCCCGCGCTGGTTGGTGATCAGTCCGGCTCTTGCAGAGATGTACAGCTGCAAGCTGGCCACAGGAACATGTTGGAGTGCTGACAAAATTAAAGCCCCCTAATCGGGCCCCACAGAAAGGACAATTCAGTTTCCCAACTGTCCACTGGGCCTACAGGTAGTAAAGGAAATAAAGACAATGCTTCCATTGTAAACTGACCAGAGAATGAGTTTAAAAGAAAAGAAAAAAGAGCGATGACATGAACATTTTTTATATTACTGAAAAGGTTAGCTTTCTCTGTTTTCTGATTAGTAGACAGAACAGCAAAGGGAAACAAGCTTTCCAGTAAACAGAGATAAGCAAGCAGCTACAAACTACTAGAATGATAACATATTGCAAATCATGCCTAGTTGAACAACCAAGAATTCCTAAAGAAAGTCTCTGAACAATAGGTTGAATACAGATACAGTGTGAACTAATGAAAAGAAAAATACTCCATGGAACCAGGAAGCAAATCAAGTCTACAGAGCTTCATTTGCAAGTGAAATCTCACAGAAAGTGTCTGTTCTGATTCACTTCTTGCATGCCAAGCATGGGGTATGGGGCGGGGGATGGGGGAATGGACAGACTTTATCAGCCAACAGAATAAAGAGTTCCCTGGCTTTCTATACACAACCAAGAAGTACGGATCGCCTAGCTCAGTACTGGTGTATTTCCATACTCAGATTAGAAATTAATGAACTGCTTTTAAAATTGTCAAGAAAGACAGTGAGGCCTCTGTAGGTTCTAATCTATTCTGTGGCATTCTGGACACTTAGGAGTGGGACACCAGTATGCTCTGAGGAAATCCTGATGTAAGCACAGATTCAAGTGAGAGCCACCATGTGTCACTTTAAAAAACAAGACAAAACAAAACAAAACAAAAAAAAAAAAAAAAAAAAAAAAAAAAAAGAAAAAAGAAAGAAAAAAACATGTTACTTGGTGAAAAAATTAATTACTGTTTTCAAAGGTTAGATTCCTTATACTTTTCCAAGACAAGTATTTAACAATGCAAAATAAAATATCCAAAACGTGCAATTCACAAAAGTTTTTTTTCTGACAATATTTGATTAAATATCACTTAACAGCAGAACATTCCTATTTTCATCCATTCAGTAAGAGACACCGATTATCCTGCTTATTTTATATGTGTGTATAAACGGTGGATGCATAAAAAATTTCACTCACTGGATGTAACAGGCACAACTGCAGGCCACAAGGATACACTACTAGCAAAGGATAGAAGAATTTCCTGGCTTGGTAGTGTTTGTGTTCTACTGGAGGACATAAGAAATTAATGAGACGAGAGCAAGCTGAGCGTCGGTATGTTTGGATGGATGTGCGTGTGTGACTGTGTACTTGTGTGCCATTGTATCCTCATGTGTATTTCCCGGTGGGATGTAAGATAGTGTCATGAGCCTGCACACTACAGGTGCACACAGCAGAGGGGAGGGGGAGGCAGTGAGAAGGTGGACAGTGGTGGGCAGCTGCTAGGTTGCTAGGCAACGTCTCACTGACAACAAGAAAGAGCCATGGAAATGGGGGGACAACCCAGGTCGGTATGTGTGAGCACATTTAGAGACTAGAAATGCCAGGTGCAAAGTCATACAGAGAAACACTGTAATGCTCCCGTGGGAGAGCGAAGCCATCAAGAGAAATGTGATCATTCACATGCACTGAAACAACACATCTACGAAACTAGAGCACAGGAGTATTCCGAAGGCTATATATCCCTAACTTTACTCAGGAACCCAGAGACTTACTTGTTGTATTAGGCAGCTTATCCACTCTGGAAGGGCGTCTATATTCATGTGCCATAGACCACAAGTGTTTTGAGCATCAATTGATTCATGTCTGTCCTGTTATGGGAAAATGAATATTAGCAATTATCATTTCAGAATTTACTTCACGATTCCCCATATTAAAGAAAAATAAAAAAATAAACCCCCAATTTAGTTAGAAATAAAATATACACTGCCTTCTTTCCCTTGTTCTCATCAGCAAAAACTAGAACCAAGTTACTTCTTTTTTTTCAGGTAATAACTACTACCTATGGTTCAAAAATTATTGGTGAATGGCTTATCTAGTATCCCATTTTTATTTCTCTGTGTGAGAATAAATAGTATTGTTTGTAGGAACTGCCCTCAACCTTAAAGCTCTGACTTTTTTTGGATTCTACTGCCAATAAATAAAGACGTATGTATATCCTCTAGGCAACCACTAACAAATGTGATGGATGGGGTAAAGGATGCTGAAGAATCTGACTTGCTAAGGACCAGCAGAAGTGGGAGGTCTCTGGCTGTCCTCTGGCCTGCTCTCCTCACACCATCAAAACATTGGGACAGATTCCCTGAGCACAATGGGTCACAGAAGAATCTCCATGGACAGGCCATGCTAAGTTCCCCCGGCTGTAACCACAAGAGCACATCTCTTGTACAAGGATTAACAAACATTTAAATGGAGGTCTAAAGTAGCCATGTACAATGTGATAAATAATTGAGACATAATAGCTTCCCATGTTGTGAGAAACATGGTAGGCAGAGCAGGGTGAAGCTTTGTGTCTTCATTAGGTATGTGACCTCGGGCCAGTAAATATATACCTCAGCTTCGCCACTATAAATTACTGTTAGGAGACTGTAAGGAATCTAAGGACTCTCCAGGGGCCCAGGAAGGTGCTGGCTGAGATGAACACAGAAAGTACAGGCTCCCACCACACACCATTTCTCAGGGTCAGATTTTACAATTACCGAATCATGGTGCTTTCTCTCAGATTTCCTGTGCAATAACACAGTTTTCACTCTGGTCAGGTTAGCAAAATAACAGACAAGGAAGCGTCTATCACCTATTAACTGTAACATCTTGGTATGTGAAAGGATTGGGGTTGATCATCTCAGAGTGTATTTCATGAAATCATCTACCTTAAAGTATGACTTGGAGACAAGACACCCCAGAATAATTTCTGTTCAATCTATGTATAATTTCCCAAACTGAACCCTCCTGGGCCCTACAACTACTTTTCTATCATTACATCATAGTAGATATGGATAAAACATATGGTGTGATTTATTTATATACTTGTGAGATCTGTAAGAAGTACAGCTCAATCGAATTTCCTTTAGGGGAACAAAGCAATGGCTTAACGATGTAAATTAAAAGGAAAATGGATGTGAGGCATTGTTCCATGTCAGACCACATTCATTACAGTATTTCAGGTACTATCAAGTATAATCAGTAATCGCTGACAAGGAATACTCACAAATAGTAAGAGCAAGCAGCTGTGGTGTGCTGATACATAACACAGCAAGTACGGGCTAACAGTAAAATAGTATACATTTCAAAAAGGAAAAAAGTTGTAACATTTTTTTTTTTACCATACTAAATAATGGAAGTTTGAGGGGGCAGATATATTTAACCTGATTAAATATTACACAATACATACATATCAAAACATACCACCATCTTATTAAAATATAAAACTTTTAATATTCTGGGTATTAGGTAAAAGTCAAATTTAATAGAGAGAAAATAAAAGATCTTGAACTATTTTCTCTTCTAACATCTTAGTCTTATAACAGAGGTTGAAATAATTTCAAGGAGGAGCTAGAAAGTCTTCTGTAAAGCATTTCAGCTGCTGAAGGAAGCATCAGCCAAGATGCCCAAACTCCAACTGAGTTAGCAGAAGAGAACTTTCCTGGTTTTCCATGTCAATGATGAGAGCATTGGAACAGTGCCAGTCAAGTGTGTGAACACATGAAGAGGCCACAACAAAGCAGACGAAAAGTTAGGAAAGGGGTGGCTATGGTAGGATCAGTCTCCAACTCTCATTCCCTAATATCTCGTCAAGGGAATGCCAAGAACATAGGAACTGGATTTTTGATTCCTTTCCTTGACACAATGGCATAGGGAAACACGGGCAGAAAAGAAGGTGATTACTGGTTTCAATCATATGTATGTATGTATGTATGTATGTATGTATGTATGTGTGTGTATGTATGTATCTCTTAAATTGATAGCTAAACTAGAAGTGTAAATGGAGGACTTCCAACAGGCATGGAATTGGGGAGCACTCCTGAGACTAATGAGAGATTAAACAGCACACTGCAGTAAAGTACAAAGCACATGAGAACAGGGGGTGATCCACCGTGGCAGTGGAAATCAGAAGTAAATAGGGGTTCTATTTACTTCTATTAAGGGGTTCAGCGGAACTTTACCTGTCTCCAGGTAAGAAGGGCGTTTAGGTCAGAAAGAAACAGAGCGGCGTACAAGGAGAGCTGGGAAGACCCCGAAGAAATGAGGGATGCTCTGCAGTAAGGCAAAAGAGCAGCTGCTGAGGACTGGACTCTGTCCTCACTGGGAACAGCACCCCAGCAAACGAGACTGCCATGCAGACCTGTAAGAAAGATGGCCAAGAAATGCTGTTTGGTAAAAAAGTAAAGAAATGGTTGCAGAACGCCACATATCCATCCTAGGATGGGAATGGTCACACGGATATGCATTGGTTAGACTAACAGAAATGTTCACTTCAGTACAAAAACTATACCCAAGTAAAAACCGATCAAAGCAAGCAAAGAGGGTGAAGTTATTTTCTAAGGAAACTGATATGGACAGGTGGAAAACGGGCTTTCCTCCTCAGCACTCAATGACAGAATGATGCTGAAGGCAGGGCAGGATTTTCAAGACAAGCTAGGATCCTGAGGATCAGTATCTAGAAAGGTACCTGGAAATACGCATGCATCTGCCATTATCTCTGCTCCCTACATTCTGATCCAAGGGCTCTGCTCCCTGCATTCTGGTGCAAGTGTTCCAATGGGCCCTTGCACAGCCCAGGTGGCTAGTCTGGAAGGTACCAGCTGTAAACTTCAGTGGTATTTGTGTGCTACTCACAGACGCCAAGAGCTATGTAGCGAGGCTTTCTCCACCCAGATTCCAAAAGATGTAGGCAACTGCATGGAATCATTCCAAGAATTTGGCATGGCCATGGAGTCATTGCAGCCTGAGACAATGGGTGTGGGCCAGTCTTGAGACCACAGACACAGATATAGAAAGCCATTAGCACTCAACTCCAGGAGAGCTGAAGACAGGAAGACTCGAATCCCTAAGAGCTGTTGCATGGGCAAAACCCAGGCAAGGCGTCAGGGCAGAGGTCCAGAGGTTTCTGTACCCTGCAGGCACCGTATCGCCAAGATAAGCTATCAGAGCAGGGCTGCAGAGGCTTCTGGATCCTGCCCTGCAGGGAAAGGGGTCAAAGAAGGTAGTGTTCCCCTTTGAAATTTCAGCACCCTCCACCCTGTTGGATTTCATGTCTACTTGAGAACAGCTGTCCCTTTTTTTTTTTTTTTTTTTTTTTTTTTTTTTCCTTTTGAAAACTGTCTTTCCTATGCCTGCCTGGCCATTGTGTTTTAGAGGAACTTAGCTAATTCTGATCTCACTGGCTCCCATCTGGAGGAATGTGTGAGCTCTAGTCTCATCTACATCTGATTTACATGAGACTGGGCTTGACAAGCTTGAAGGGGCACTGCAAGGCCTTCAGACTTTGGAGTTAATGGGAGGGATGGATTGTATTTTATGTTTTAAAAGAGCATGGATTGAGGTGGGCACAAAAAGCACTTAGGCTCCAAGCTTGAATCTTAGCTCCCAGTGGGTGGTGCTTTTGGAAACTTCAGGAGCAGCATGTGGAGGAATTGGGTTCCTGGGAGCAGGACTCTGAAGTTTCCAGCTGGTCCTCTTCTCTGTCTCCTGTCTGTCATTATATGAGGAACATGCACTGAGCACCCACACTCACATGGCACACTGTGCTACCTCACTCAAGGCCCAGAACACAGAGCCAGGTGACCATGGGATGAATCATCTTAAATGATAAGCAACTTACTCCTTCTTTCAACAATTAGAAAGTTTCAAAGATGACCAAGGATTCAGCTACAAGAGAGCGAATGACATTAGGACCACGGAGAACTGATGTGAGAGGAGGACAGAGGAGGTTATACCCAGGAGGACAGAGATGGGTTATACACAAACACCATGCCATTGTCTGTAAGGACAAGAGCACCTGTAGAGGCTGGTAGGATTCTGGAACTAACTGCTCACAGATAGCAAAGACGACAGAGAAGGAAATCTCAGAGACTGGAAGTAGCTGACCCAGCCCCAAAGACAAGAATGTTGAGGCCTAAAGGAGCTGGCAAAGTTTTTCTACAAGCTGACAGCCCTTCCACACCAGGATGGCGGGTCTCCTAAAACTACCATGGGCAGGAAGCCCTGTGGGTTCTTTCAATTATCTCAAGCAAACACATCTTGAACTTTATTGAGGGAAGCACTTCAAGCTATACTGGGTCTCTACTTGCTCATTCAACAGCAAGCAGACTGCATGAAAAGAAGAAAACACATCTGAATCCTTCCACTCATAACATAATACAATTACAGATGCTGCAAGCTTACTACCTCACCCCCGGGGGCGGGGGGGGGGAGACTTATAGCATTGCTAAGTCACTGACAATTCTAGGGCTTCAAACTTTAGTCTAAGAACTCTATGTAGGTACCACTTTCTGCAGCCCTTGAGTAGCAACTTCCAGCAAGTTCTGGAGAAAATACAAGTGGCACTCGAGAAAATAATGGTGGTCAAGGTCAGTCAGGTGGCACTCAAGAAAATAATGGTGGTCAAGGTCAGTCAGGAGTCTGCTGAAGGATTACCCCGGAACAATGCTTCCTTGGACATAGTCACACATCACCAGCATCTCTTCTTTCCAACCCCAGTGACTACACACTAAATGTACTACTTAATCTTCCTCCATGAAGTGAGATGGGGAACCTGGAAATGGCTTTTGAATCTGGTTCTGTGCACCTATATACCTGACTTTTTAAAGTC